GCCAGCCCGAGGCTCCCCACCACTCCGCCTTCCTGTGACTCTCCACACTGGTCCCACTGCATCTGGCCTCACTGTCAGGCCTGTTCAGTTCTCCACAGTGAGTATCTGCCCAGAGTCGGGGATAATGCCGGGTGCTGCTTGGGCCACTGTAGTTTCTGGCCTGAGTCTTACTCCCTTCCACCCTCTAAGAGCCTGATACAGCTTAGATCTCAGGGCCAGAGTGTCTGGAGCGGGGGAAGAGGAGCTGCACCACTGGAGATGCTGTTGCAACCACAATTTAGTGACTAAGAACCTGGCATCTCCCTGAGGGGTCAGGATTCCCAGGCGCTGACCTTCAGAGCCCTGGAGGTATCAGCCCTATCACACAAGACTCAGCTACGTGTAACAGTGGATGAACTCTGCTGTGAGTAGCAGTGGGGGGACGTGGGTTGGGGGCTCAGACAGGAAGCTGACACCTCCAGATCAGGACTGGCAGTGTACACACCTTCTTCCAGAGAGGGGTCTCCTGGGGTCATCCACCCTGCCCTACAACTTCTCCAGGCCCGTCAAAACCAATACTCTGCAGACGTTTTAGAAAGCCCCCCAGCCTCTTACTGCTCTTGTATTTCTAGGTAGAGGGTCTGCCCTGTGGCAGCTGTGACTTTCAGGCTGGAGTCTAACCTGGCAGAACAGCAGTGTTTTCCCTGTTATGAAAGAAGGCTGAGAGTGTCACCTGAGGAGAGGAGCGGAAGCCCCAGCTTTGCAGGCCTCGCTGTGGGGAGCAAGGAGGGTGAGGGTGACAGGTGCAGTGAGCTCGGGGCTCTGGAGTTTCCTCTGGAAGTTCCCAACCCTGTTCCAAAGGTTAATTTCAGTTCCCTTGCACCCTGCTTGATTTTACAGGATTGGGGGTGACTTACTTTTCCTTTTTCCTCTTGATCTCCTTCACTCATTTCATGCCTCCACCCTGCCCCTCACTGAGCAACCACCAGTCTACGAACCTGTGTGTTTTTAGGTTCCACCTGTTAGAGAATGTAGTATTCCCCTTTCTTGGCGGAAGAAATTCACTTACCACAAGCTCCCCTGAGGTTCCTCCCTATTGCAAAAGGCAGGAGTTCCTTCTTTTTTAAACGGTGGAGTAATCTTCCCTGTATGCCTTGTTCTCTTTATCCACTTATCTATTCATGGACATTTAGATGGTCTCCATGCTTTGGCTATTGTGAACTATGCTGCAATAAATACGCACTTGGCATTTTGAGTTAGTGCTTTCATTTTCTTTGGATAAATACCCAGAAGTGGAATTGCGGGATCATATGGCGGTTCTATTTTTACTTCCTTGAGGAACTTCCATCTTGTTATCTCTACTGGCTACTAATTTACATTCCCACCAACAGTGCCCAAGAGTTTCCTTCCTCCACATCCTCTTGTTATTTCTAGTCTTTGTGCTGATTACCATCCTAACAGGTGCGAGTGATCTCTCTTTGTGGGTTTGATTTGCATTTCTCTGATGCTTATCAAAGCTGATCACCTTCTCCTGTGCCTGCCCTCCTGTATGTCTTTGAAACAACAGCTACTCAGCTCTTCCACCCCTGGCTTTATGGGATGGCTATAAAAACGACATAGAGTGCAAGAAAATAATAAATAGGTGATTGCCAGAGTTTGGAGAGGAATCACGGGCAGTTATTTTCTTGTAGGCATGGAGTTTCCATTTTGTGAGATGAGAAGGGCTGGATGGTGGTGGTTGTATAATCGCATGAATGCATTTAATTCCACTGAACTGTATATTTAAAAACGGTCAAGGGAATACGTTTTAGTCATGTGTATTTTAGTATAACAAAAAAAAAAAAAAACCTTTTTGTTTTTACAGATTGCAGAGAGCTCTCTTGTTCCTTCTACCAGGTGAGTACACAGTGCAAACAGCTTCCTAGGAACCCTCTCACCAGACTCTGAATCTGCCAGCACCCTGACCTTGGCTTTCCCCACCTCCAGAACTGAGAAATAAATGTTCAAGGTCTGGGGCCCTCCCTGGTGGTGCAAGGGGTTAAAGCACAGCACTATGAAGCTATCACAGCCACTGCAGCATGAGTTTGATTCCTGACCAGGGAACTGACCCACATGACGCAGCAGACCCCTCCTGGTCCGCCCACTGCTCCCCTCAGCAGTGTACTTCGTCGGTCTGCCTGTTCTGCTCCCCACTCTGTCTCTGGTGAATCCTCTCACCCTCCGCATCTCTGGCCTGTACCCCAATTCCGTGTGAATAAATAAATAAATCTTAAAAAAATGTATGGTGTGTATGCCAAAAAAGAATAAAAGGATAATACGTTGGGGGTAAATAAGCCATGTAAACAAATACCTTGTAAAATATCAACCTCTGAATACGTTTGCTGTGTCATATTATTCGAAGTTGTACCCAGTGATCCCTCGACTGTGATGGACAAGTGTGGTTTGGGGAGAAGCAATGAGTTACCCAGTGGGGTATGCAGAGGGCCCCTCTTGGGGGACTGCCTGCCATGAAGAGGTGACCAACCTCTTCTGCAGTGGGCCTCCTCCTTGCGAGGTGATCCTGGCTGCCTCTCGAGCAGAGGCAGTAAAAGGTGGCTCACGGCGGGTTAAAGCACTGCACTAAGAAGCTAAAGCCGCTTCCGCATGAGTTCGATCCCCGCCTGCCCCGGAGGTGACCACATGGCGCGGCAGACAGACCTCTCCTGACCCACCCGCTGCTCCCCTCAGCAGTGTACTTTGTTGATCTGCCTGTTCTGCTCCCCGCTCTGTCTCTGGTGAAGCCTCTCACTGCCCCACACCTTTTGCCTGTACCCCAGTTCTATATGAATAAATCTTTAAGATAATAAAAGGTGGCCCCCCCAGGGGGGCCCCCTCACACCTAGTCACACCAGTCCCAGAGCTAAATATGTTGCTCTGTTTTCCAATGACTGGGAGGAAAATCAAGATGAATACAACTTTGTGACACATGAAAATGACATGAAATTCAAAGTTTAGCATCTGCATTAAGTTTTGTCGGCCAAAGCCACACTCATCTGGTCACGTACTGTCTAGACCAGTTGGGCAGAGGCTCCCTGCACTCTGCTGCTGGCCACTGTCTAGGGCCAGCTGTCCTCTCCCCCAGTGACCGGCCTGCCACAGTCTCTGAAATGCCTGAGGCCACCAGGCCCCATCTGTCCCTAGAAAGCCAATACCACAGAGACCTGGCGACGTGGCCAGGAAGGCAGGGGTCAGCATGAATGGTGGAGCGTTTCATTCCAGCCACGGCTTTCGATTTCTGACAGCGCCTGAGTCCTCCCGGAACCATGAGAAACACGGGCCGGCTGTGGCTCTGACCAGGGAGAGTGAGGTGACCCCAGGGGGCACCAGAGGGGTGAGAGTGAGCAACAGAGGCCCAGGCAACCCCACCGACAATGAGCACTTCAACGCTTGCAGAGATCGCCACCTGGCTTGCCCTCTAGCACCAAGATGAGAACGGGGGACTGTCCTTCACGTCCCGGCCAGCTGCGGGCACGTTCCGCAGGCGCGGCCATCTGAGCCTCGACCTACGGGTACCCTAGCAGCTCGGTCGGCCTCTTCCCCACGCCTCCTGCGCCTCCCTGGTCCCGCTGTGTTCTGATGCCATCTTGGACCTTCAAGTACCCAGATCAGGCCAGCCACAGCTTCGCCAGGCACGGTGAGGCCACGACCTCTCTCCGTCGGCCTCGGTTCTCCACAGCTCTGTGACACACCAGGCCCAGACAGGCTGGCGGGTAGGAGTGACCTGAGAGCCACGTGGTCTGTTTTCCTTGTGTTAGAGAGGAGGAACCCGACACACAGATCACGGCAGCCGCTCGCCAAATCATGTTCCACATCAGTGGCCAAGCTTACTCTGCCCTGAATACCATGTCCCGTCCACGGAGGTTTAGGCTGGAGGCCAAACAAGCTTCTGGCTTGTTTCATCCTCTCAGCTGAACTCAGGTAGGTTTGACAGGCCTCTTTCGTTTGATGCCTGACAAAATGAACAATGAGTCTGGGAGCCTTTTCTCGCTGGCCTTGCTGAGTGCGCGCCAGGCCCAGGAGACACCCCTGTGCCTAGGGGAGATTAGGTGTGCAGCCAGCCTATGTGTGGGATAGGGCACCCTTGACCCCCTCGAGCAGACCGAGGGCAGGCTTGGCGGGCTGGAATTTTCCATAAAGAGGTCCAGACAGCGAGAGACACAAAATGACGAGGGCCTGGGTCTCTGGGGCTCGTGGGGGTGTGGGGGGGGGTGGGCGTGTGTTTTCAACTGAAGTGTCCGTCCCCAAACCCACAGGCTGAAGCCTAAGCCCCAGCTGATGGCAGAGGCTGGGTCTTTGGAGCTGACGGGGCCCTGAGCACCCGTCAGGAAAGCGGGGCCCTCTGTAGGGCCCAGCACTGGGGCAGGGCCGGGGAAGGGGGAGCCTGGCTCATCTAGGCCTCAGTGTGGGACTAATGCCCGGGTAAGAGACTCCAGAGAGCACCCACCCCTCCGCCAGGTGAGGCAGCCGGGAGCGGGGCCCTCCCCTGGCGATGCCCGAACCCCGTCTGACTTCCACGTTTGTAGTCCCCGGCCCCCGCTCTGTGGCTTGTTCGAGCAGCTCCAGTGGCCTTGGAGGCAGGGGTGGGGTGGGGGTGGGTGGGGGATGACGTGACCGGGGGAGTGAGGTGCTGGGCAGTAGGAGGTGCTGGGGAGAATGAGGAGCCCCTCAGAAGCAGGTCTGCTGGGGGCACAGTCCCAGGGAGCAGAGCCCGGCGCAGGCTACCAGTGGAGCCCCCTTGTCTACTCAGACCCTCCCCACTGCCACGGGAGAACGCGGGTGGTGGCAGAGGAAGAAGGAGCGTTTCTCTGCCCACCTGACTTTTGTAATCTCCTTAGGTCGGCTTTGGGTCCACAGAGTGACCCCACTGTCTTCAGCCCTCTCACTGCAGCTGGTTCTAAGCCAGGAGGACTTCCCGGCAGCGGTGTTTCTCTGACTGATGTGGCCATGGGCCCTTCGCTAACTCCACGACCCCCAGACCTTACCTCCTGCGGCCTCTCTGAGATCAGAATGAACCCATTGTGGTCGATGACAAAGCAGTCCAGGCCCTGGGGGGAAGCCAGAGGGGAGTCACGGCCAGGCCCTGCTGTCCCCCGACCTGTCCTGAGGGGCTGCAAAGCCCCCCTGCCCCAGTATCAGGGAAGAGGTGCCCCCAGCACTGAGGGAGGGGGCCGGGGGAATGCGGAACCAGCTCATCTAGGGGACATAGTTTGGGGGCCACATTTCTCTTATCTGCCCTCTCCACGGGGGGCGGACTCACCCTGTCCTGGCAGCCGCCTGGGCAGGGTCCCCCTGCAGCGCCGCACTGGAAGGAAGGAGAGAGCCGGTGAGTTGTGGATGTGCGTGTGCGGCGTAGATGTGGGCCCGTGCAAGTGTGCACGCAGGTAGGCACGGTGCGTGCGCTCTGTGTGTCCGAGTGTGGTGTGCTAGTGTCGGGGAGTGTGGGCGTGTGCTCACAGTCACAGTGCGTGTGTGCACGGGCGCGTGCTCCGTTTGGCGTCTGGACAGTAGGGTGTGTGCACCGCGGGCGCCTGCTGAGCAGGTGTGTGAGTGTGTCCTGGTATGTCTGCACAGGTGCATGGGGCGTGTTAGGGGTCAGCCACGGAGACAGGACGCCCCTGGCTGGCAGCGTCTCAGGTACCCCGTTTCCTCGGGGGGAGCCGGCCCGCTCCCTGCAGCAGGGAGGTCCACAGGGACTCACAGGCCCCTCGGAGGCGCCTGTTCTTTTTTGTCCTTCATGAGGTGGTGCTGACCCGGGTGGCTGGACTGGTCTGCGTCTCCCTGCCCTGCCTCCCGCCCACTCTGTACTAGAGCGCTAAACTGGCATCAGGTGAGGGCAGAGCAGAGCAGAGCAGGACCGGATGACACTGTGGGCAACAGTGAGGACACTGAGGGGCCCAGGAGCCCAGGCTGCTGGCTCGGGGAGAGGGCAGGAAGGGGACAGACAGGGTGGGGAGGAGGACCGTGGCGGGGAGAGGGGCCAAGGCTTGGGTCTCGACAGAGCTTCCCCCCACCCCTGACTTCTCTTTACTCTGCCCTGAGGGGGCCTGTGTGGCTGGCTCTGGGGCCGCAGAGAGGGAATGAGTTGCATGTTCTGGGTGGGGGGGTGGGAGGGCTGTGCCCTTTGCCACGGGGATGAAGTGTGCAGGGACCAGAGATGGAGGGCTAAAGTGTGGGCGTGGGGGGCCACAAAGGCCTGAGGGGAGGGTCCGGGAGAGCAGCCTGAGGGGTAGGAAGTGGGTGAGAGGCAGGAGTGCTCCAGGGGGGAGCACCTTCCTCCCATGGCCTGGCCGAGTCCTCCAGCCCTGCCCAGGCAGCCACCGCCACACCCACCTGCTGTGTCACTGCCCAGAATGTGTGTCGCAGGAAGTCCAGTCTCATCTGCACGCCCACCGCTGCCAGGAAGCCGGCGAGGGAGGCGAGACCGCGTGTGTTTTGGGGAGGGGGTGGTAGGTGGGGAGAGATGGAGAGAAAAAATGTTCAAGTTAAAGGAAGGCGGTGCATTGGCAGGGAGGGGGGACAGAAGCCTGGGAGCAGAAGCCCGGGCAGAAGAGACCTTGGCTTCCAGCTGCGCAGCAGAAGAAAGATACCCAATGCAACACAACGCAACACAACACTACGCAACACAACACAATGCAACACAACACTACGCAATGCAACGCAACTTAACGCGGTCGGGCTCTGGAGGACTAGAGAGCAGCATCCATGCTCAGATTTGGGGAACTCAAGGAGGCTAGAGCAGCTCATTCTCTCCTCTCCCACAGATGGAAAATTGAGCCACATGCTCAAGGTTACATGACCAAAAGGGAGGGGTTGAGGCTGTGACTTGGGGTCACTGCCACTTGGACAACTCAATGGGTTCCTAATTTCAAGTGTGATGTGACACAATTATACCCCATTCCTGTGTAGGGTCTCCCCCATCTTCATAAGAAGGCTCCTTCCGGGTCATCCCTGGTGGTGCAATGTTGGAGCTCAACACTGCAAAGCTGGCCTCGGCCGCTTCAGTGTGAGTTCGCTCCCCGCCCCGGAGCTGACCCACGTGGTGCGGCAGACCTCTCCTGACCCGCTGCTCCCCTCGCCAGTGCACTTCATCAGTCTGCCTGTTCTGCCCCCCACTCTGTCTCTGGTGAACACTCTCACCCCCCCGCACCTCTGGCCTGCACCCCAGTTCTGTATGCTTAAAATAAATCCAGATCTGGCCCCACTTGCTGGCACCTACAGGAAGATACCTGCACAGGTGCCAGCCTCCCTGGCTCCTAAGTAGGAATCCAGGCTGGTGCTCATGTACTAAGATAAGAGAAGTGGGGCACAGAAGAGGAAGCAAAGGCAAGCTGGACTGAAGTCAATGAACCTCGGAGGGTTTCCTGCCATCTGGAGTAACAATATGGAAGGCGTGTCAAGTACCAGGCACCTTTACAGCCATGAGTTTATTTCCCCCATAGAACAGAACAGCTCTGGGATTACTCAGCCTTTACAGCTGAGGCCACGAGGCTGACACTGCTCCCCTGGCACCTGACCGCTGGACACAGGTTCAGGACACGCCGGGTTCATCTCGAGGGCTCTCGGCCTCCGGTCTCCAGGCCTCCACGCTAGGTCTGGCCTTAGGAAGAGTTTCAAGGCACGAGTAAAGCGCCTGCCCCCTCTCTCAGCACCTTCGTCCATGAAATGGGAGTGGACCTGGGTTCTCAGCCAGGATCTGTGCTGGGGGGACATTCTAAGATGCTCCAGGACCGTTCTGAGGGGTTTTCTAGCATGCTCATTCCGACTTCCTGAGAGCCTCTGGCTCTTCTTAAATTGACCAGGAGTTCCAGTATGGCACAGAGATACAGAATAGTATCTTTTTTAAAAAAAAAATATTTAGAGTGATAACAAATCTGCAACGGATAAAAAGTGAGACCAAGAAAGAGCCAAGGAGGCCAGAGTTAGGCCAGAGGCTGTGACCTTTGAATTTCTCTGTTATAAAATGGGTCATGGGCTCTCCCTGGTGGTGCAGTGGGTTAGGACACAGCACTGCAAGCTGGCTGCAGTCGTTTCACTGCGAGTTCGATCCCTGACCCCAAAGGTGACCCACGTGGCGCGGCAGACCTCTCCTGCTCACCCGCTGCTCCCTCAGCAGTGTATTTCAGCTGATGTGCCTCTTCTGCTCCCCACTCTGTCTATGGTGACACCTCTCAATCTCCCCCGCCCCTGGCCCTGCACCTCTGGCCTGTACCCCAGTTCTTGTCTGCATAAGTAAATAAATCTTAAAAGAAAAAAAGAAAGAAAGAAAGAAAGAAAAAGGCCGAGTAGAAGAGGGAGATTTCTGAAAACTTTTGGAGTGGAGTCACATGAGTGCTTCGAATGGTCAAATCTCTGGGATTTAGGAAAGTGTAATTGACCCCATTCTTAGCTTCAGTGGTCAGGAGCTCTCGAGTTATTCCTGGAATAAGACTCTGCTTAGTGCCAGGTCTCATAGCATCATGCAATCCTGAGCTGGAAGAAATTCTATGATCCTAACAAGAGAGACTTGAGAGGAGGGGGCTATGTTTTCCTTAATGGAACAGGGTCTCGAGGCTTTGGTGGGGTGGAGAGAGGCGTGCAGAGTGCATGCTCGCCCGCCAGTTTCCAGCAGCACCTCAAGGCAGGGGTCTGGATATCCTTGGGAGACTTTAGGACATTTCATCTGCTAACAGCATTCCCACACGGGTCACCGACAGGCATTTTCAAAGGTCACATGTTCAGAACAGAACACTGGCTCATCCTACCAAAACCTGACCCCTCCTGAGACTTTCCCACATGGGGGCACCTTTCCTACCTCATTGCAATCCACAGTAGCCACATTCTGCAGCCGGTATTTGTAAATCTTCCCTCTTTTGCAGCTATCACCATGGGCTAAAGCAACATTTCTCTCACTTGGCTGAATGCACCAGACTTTCCCCGCTCCCCACCCCTCCCTCCTCATGTCTGTTCTCCATGTGGCCATGAGCGTGATCTTCCAGAAGGTCATGGCATGTCATTCCCTTGCTTAAAACCCTTGGACACCTTCCACAATTGCTCTTAGAACAAAACCTGAACTCCTTTATAACAGCCCGCTGAGCCTGGCGGGAGCCACGGGTCTCTCTGATTTCAACCTGAATCACTTTCTCCCTGGAACATGCTAAATTTGTTCCCACCCAGGGTATTTGCATGTGCTGTCCTCTCTTCCCAGAATGCTCTTCCCCTTGCATTGTACCTGGCTGGCTCTTCTCATCTTCGGAGCTCAGCTTAAAAACATCATCTATGGAGCCCTCCCTGGGGGCGCAGCGGGTTAAAGCACAGCACTAAGAAGCTAAAGCCACTTCCGCATGAGTTCCATCCCGCCCCGGAGCTGACCCACATGGCGCGGCAGACCTCTCCTGACCCGCCCGCTGCTCCCCTCGGCGGTGTACTTAAGTCAGCCTGTTCTGCTCCCCACTCTGTCTCTGGTGAATCCTCTCACCACCCCTGCATCTGGGGCCTGTACCCCAAATAAATAAGTCTTTGAAAAACACATCATCTATCTTTACAGAGGCCCAGATGGGACAGTTCTGTCCCCTGCATGGTTCTTCCTCTATCTCAGCGCTCTTTAATTTCTAAAGGACATGAATTATTTATTTTATTCCTATTTACTGCCAGTCGTGTCCCACTAGGATGAGGGGAGGACTAGTGCCAGACAAGGTCTGGGTTAGCACCTAGACTAGACCTCACTCGGAGGGGGTCAATAAATATTTCTTGAGCTGCTGAGCACATAGTTCTGCACTCTGTCCAGCCACAGCCTAGATGCCCCCTCTGTCCCGTCACCCCCACGTCTGCTCTCTGGCAGATGCGCCCTGAGGCCGCAGTTCACTGAGAATCAGGGCGTCTAAGTGAGACACAAAGAAGAGCTTCCTCCCGGGAAGACCTGTCAGATGTTGAAAACAGGAGTTGGTATCCCATGAAGAGGTGGGGTGGGGTGGGGGATACTTAACAGATCTCCGTCTGCTGGTATCTTGCTGGGCCAAACAGCTTGCCCTCCTGGACTTCAGTTGTTTCAACACTGATTCATCAAATGCCTCATAAGCTGAGTCTTGCCTGTTCAGACCTTGAGGAAGCCCACCCTTCTCCCTAGCGAAGTGCCACCCCCGGGACCCTGCTCTGCTCGGCTGCTGTCAGAGCCTGCTGGCCCTGGAGGAGGCTGGCCGCTCTCCTCCTGGCGCCTCCTGTGAGCCAGGCTGTGCAGATGACAGTGTCATGTGAAGCTGCTTGCAGACAGGTGCAGGACTTGCGGGGAAGACCCAAGCAGAGCTCTGCAGAAGGCGAGGGGTTTTGACTTCCCGGCGGTGTCCCCAGAGGGCTGCTGAGAGAGCGGCTCTCACGTTGTGCACAGGGGTCCTGGTATTAGGCCTTGACCTTGGCTCCCTCTGCCTACGTCTGCTACAGGGTGCAGCCGGCCCCTCCCCGGCTTCTGCCAGCCTTCACGCTCTGCCTGCCTCTCCACACTGATCTCATGCCTTCCTCCAAAGCAGCTTTTCTTTAAGACAAACTAACAAAGAGCCCCAATAAGGCCACAGGCGGCAGACGGCTTATCAAGATGCACCTCTTTGCTCTGTATCCTGGCTGTCACCTCAGCACTGCTTTGTCATCACAGACGGCAAAACAAAACAGCTGTGTGCTCGCGAGGACACACACACACTCACTCTCTCTCCCCCCGCCAGGAACCATGGCCCTGCGAGGTGCCAAGCTCTGCCCTTCACCCCCCAGCTCTCACACCTACTTAGTCTTTCCTTCTCCTCTGCTGTGGTACCCAGCCCAGACCCTGTTTATTTAACTGAATCCAGAGCTGCAGATGGGGCGGTTGGGGAGGGGGCCCAGTTTTTCTAGCACAAGCTGGGCGCAGGTGGCCCTCAAGGCATTCTTGGGCCACGATGCCAGGCCAAGGGGGAGCCCAGAGATGGGCATTATCCTACCTCCTCATCTGCAGAGCAGGGATCCCAGGCCAGGACTGCCGAGCTCATCAACTAGCTAATTAGCTAATAGCTAATAGTTAATGAGCGTCAGAGCCTAGACTCAGGTCCCCAGGTCAGGACTTAGGCTCTTTCTCCTCCTCCATTCCTCACTCAGCTGCTGAGGAGCCAGGGAGCTGGGCTGGGGGAGGGAGCCCCTTCTCTGGAAGCACTCACAGTTCCTATAGGGAGATAATAACTCCACAGGCAGCTGAGACCTTTTCAGTCCAAGGACAGAAACAGAAGCATAAACGCCGTCTGAAGCAAGTATCACTGATCAGAGAAGGAGAAGGTCCAGCTCTCAGACCAGCCTGGGAAGCGCCAGAAAGCACGAGGCCTTTGGGTTGAGTTTTTAAGGAGGGGAAGGCCCAAGGAGGAGAGCGTTCCTGGAGCAAGGTCTGGAGGCGTGTTGGGGC